AGATGTCTTTAGAGAATCAGCTGCTCAGGGCACATGCAGCGGAGGAAGTGTTAATAAATTACAGATTCAAAAAGGCTGTGTGGTGAGGAACTCTGCATTTTGTATGGGATTTCACTGTTAAAACGGTACACTTTAAGTTACCAGTGCTGGGCAGAAAGGTTTTGTAATATTCTGAATCCCATTCTAGGTCTGACTTTTTGGGTGCTTATTAAAGTATTTATTTTTTATTTATTTATTTTTTAGACAGCAAAGGCTGACAGCTTTTTTCAGCACCATTCTTACGGACACACACCTGGGTGTCACAGTGGTGCCTTTTCCTCTCTTGGTTAACTCGAATGAATGAATACTGAATGAATACCGGAGTGGGCACGAAAGTTTCTACCACTTGCTATATTGGGAAAAGGGACTGGAAACGTAGCTTGTAATGCATTCAGATTTGGTGGAAACAGAGTTTTTGGCAAGATGCTGATAGCCTGGAGTAGAATTTTATGAAGAATGCAGCTCCGTAAGGAATGGTCTCACAGTTGAAGTGGAGAAAGGGAGGCTGTGGTCTTCCTCTTACCACTGCTTGGAAGAGAGACCCGTCGGGTTGTGTCCAGTCCTGGTAATGAGGTTCATCAAGGCCTTCTAACCCGGGCACCGGCTGCAGCGGGCGGCTCCTAACGGCTTAGTCTTGAATGTTTCTGATGGGAAGGAACCGATCACTCGCTAAGAGAGCCCGTTTCAGTTTTCAGCAGCTGTAACTGTCAGAAAGTGTTCACCCAGGAGCTCTCCCCAGATCCCCCGCTTTGGTGGACCCAGGACTGAATTTTATGCCCATGTCTTCACGCTGATTCTCTCCTCCTTTATAAGTACATCCCAGGGGATCTGTTTTCCTCTTTGAAGGTGGTTGGTGCCTCCAGCCCTGTGTCTTCTCGTTGGCTGATTTGGCTTGAAATGTTCCAATGGTCACCAACTCAGAAAGACAGAGAAGTAGGCCTTGAAGTCTCCAGGTGTGGAAGCAGGTGGTGGTGGTGAATGGAGGTGTCTGATGTGTGATACAGGCAGGAGAATGACACCAAAAGGTGCCTCGTCAGAGGTCCGGCATTGAATCAGACAGCCTGCACTGGACGCCTGCCTCCTTCGCTGGACCATTGTGTGACCGTGGTGCCTCTAGCCTTTCTGGACCCCCGTCATCTCTTCTGTGAAATGGGGCTGCAATACCCATCTGTCAGGGTTCTTGGAAGGAGTAAAGAGGTGATGCATGTAAAGCAATGAGCAGAGAGCTGACACGCCAATACCGCATGGCTCTTACGACCTCGCCGTGGTGGTTTGTGGTCACTTTGTAGAGCTGGAAGTGCCTGATCTGGGCTGGGGCAGGAGGGCCTGCAGGAGGCATGGGTTGAGCTGAGGCTGGACAGGTAGGGTGCAAATGAAGTGCGACAAGTTAGCTACCAACAGATACCGCACCAGCTCACCTTGACAAAAATAGTGCTGCTATGATGCCTCTGGCTACTGGAACAGAAAGCAAACTTGGTAATGGATGTCCAGTGGTGTTTGAGAGGAAAGAATTGTGGGCAGAGCTGTTGGGTGACACCAGAGGTGTTTGCCAGGATATGACTGCTTTCTCTTTGGGTTTGCCTCGTTGCGTCCTAGCAGCTGGAAACCGCCTGGCATCCTTGTTAGCTGGTGGCTGCAGGACCTGCTGGCTTTTTTCCGGGAGCACGTTTCTGACAGAAGGGCGTAAGCCCCTGGGTGAAGCAGAGTGTTGGGAAAGATACAAGGGGAGGGTTTTTATTTTTTATATTTTATTTTATTCATTCAAAAATTGTATACAGACATTACAATACTATCTTATGTATATAACAACACATTACGGAAAATAAACATTTTTGAAGGATGAGATAAACTTAAATACAAATAAAAGTTCTATTATTTTCTCCTAGGCCAATTGATGTCCTGTTTGAGAGTCATGTTTTCCATTTAGATAACATCAATATTGAGGCCTTGGCTGATATTTTCATTCTGCACAAACCAACAATATTCAAGTAATTTCCATTGAAAATATAAATTTTGTGTCAATCTTGCAGATATATTATTATTATTATTAGTTTCAGGTGTACAGAACAATGCAATAGTTATTCCTTTTCACCCCTCACAAAGTGAAACCCCCCCTCCTCCCATCCACTGCCCCTCCACCCCCGATATCATACATATCTATTACGATTCCATTGACTCCATTCCCACACTATACTCCACATCCCATGACTATATATGTATTAAATTATAGTTGACATATAATATTACTCAACGGCAGCTTCAGATGTACAGTGCAGTGTTCAGGCTTCTACACCGTCCATGAAGTGGTCTCCCTTACAAGACATGAGTCCATCTGGCCCCCTAAAAAATATTTACTACATTATTGATTATATTCCCCAAACTGTCTTTTCTATCCCTGAGGCCATATGGTAGTTACCAATTTATGTTGTGTAGTCCCTTCCCCTTCTCCCTTATCCCTACCCCGCTCCCATCTAGCAAACATCAGTTTTTCCTCTGTGTCTCTGAGACTATTTCTGTTTACTCTGCTCATTTATTCAGTTTTTTAGATTCCACATATAAGTGAGATCATATGGCATTTGTCTTTCTCTGACTGACTTACTTCACTTAGCATAATGTTCCCTAGGTCCATCCATATCGTTGCAAATGGTACGATTTCCTTCTTTATAGCAGAGTAATACTCCATTGTGTAAATGTACCACAGTTTTTTAATCCAGTCGTCTACCGATGGGCATTTCGATTGTTTCCAAGTCTTGGCTATTGTAAATAGTGCTGCAATGAACATAGGGGTGCATATATTTTTTCGAATTAGTGTCTTGGATTTTTCATGATAAATACCTAAGAGTGGAATTGCTGGGTCATAAGGTAGTTCCATTTCCAGTTTTTTGAGATACTGATTTCCATAGTGGCTGCACCAATCTGCAGTCCCACCAACAGTGCACCAGGGTTCTCTTTTCCCCACAGCCTTGCCAGCACTTGTTGTTTGTTGATTTATTGATGATAGCCATTCTGACCAGAGTAAAATGGTATCTCATTGTGGTTTTTATTTGCATCTCTCTAATGATTGGTGAGGTTGAACATTTTTTCATATGCCTGTTGGCCATCTATATGTCTTTTTTAGAGAAATGTCTCTTCATATCCTCTGCCTATTTTTTAATTGGGTGGTTTGTTTTTTTGGTGTTGAGTTGCATGATTGTTTTATAAATTTTGGATATTAGCCCCTTATCAGATATATCATAGACAAGTATCTTCTCCCATTCAGTAGGCTTCCTTTTTGTTTTATTGATGGTTTCCTTTGTTGTGAAAAAACTTTTAAGTTTGATGTAATCCCCTATGTTAATTTTTTCTTTTACTTCTCTTGTCCGTGGGGATGTATCAGTAAAAATATTGCTCAGGGTAATGTCTGCAAATTTACTACAAGAGGAGGGTTTTCTCTTCGGATGGCTTTTTATTTTCCTGGACATTTGACTATAAACCACTTGATGGGAGTACAATTTGAGGAGGCAGTTTTAAGCAACTTTAATTTAGAAGATAAAATTGAAGGTAATTGCCTTTTGACTTAGCGTCTTCTGACTCTACCAAAATTATCCTCTTCTACCAAGTTCTGAGACTATACAGAGTATCACAAGAAAACTCCTTTTCCTACTTCTAATTTAGAAGTTTCTGGTAGGAACAAAATAGTGATAGCCTCTGAGAACAAGGCTTTCTTTCTTAGACCCTCCCATCGCTAGCTCCCCTGGCCCTCCTGCCAGGGTGCACCACTTCTGCGTAAGTAACAGGATGGAAAGCAGCATTTGTTCTTGGCCAGTGAAGTGGGCTCTTGCTAGTAGGACATACATGGTTGGACATTATTGAGCAGAAAATGAAAAATCCAAACTTTTGAAGCTCTTACTTACCTGTGTGTTTGGACAGCTCTTACTTCTGCATATTCTGCCCTTACAATAGCCTTGCAGATAGTTTAAAACAATGCTTACAGCTTATTAGTGCTTTCCGTTTGAAACTATGATATAACATTGCTGTTATCTGTGCTGTACTTTAAAACGAGTTACTTGGTTTTCAACTACACAGATTATATCTTACATACAGTCTTGAATGTTTGGGGAATTACTTGATTTCCTTCAAAGCCAAAATAAGGATCATTTTAAGAGCTATCTTGTATATTTGATTGTATTTCTCCTCGATCCTTGTAATTGGAGTAACACATCCTGTTGGTTTCTACTGATGTGCCTTGCCTTGAGAGCTCCGTCTTGCCGGGAGGAGGGAGAGCAGATTCTGGATAGGGCGGGCATCGGGTCTGTCTGCAGCTGGTCAGTTTCTGTCCTTAAATTACCAGGTGGCCTCACACACTTGAACAGTCCTGGGCTTCAGTTCCCCTTCCCCCTTGAAATGACATCAGTGCCTTCCAAAGTCCCTTATGACACTAACAATCTATGCTATTATTTCATAGTTTTCAGCTGTAGTAGGTAGCCAGGGAACAAAGATGCCAGTGCCATGTATACATCATGGGGCTTCCTCAGTGCCCAGTGGTTTCCTCCACCTTGTCCCCAAACCTCCCCAAAGAATGTAATGCCCACATTGTGATTAATTCTTAACTAATAACAGTACACTAACATTTCACTAACATAGCCACATAGTGGCTAATTCTAAACTAATAACAGTACACTAACATTTCACAAATGTGCCAGGAAACAAATCTCATTTCATTTGCCTAAGAGCACTTAGCGTTACCCTTGATTTTGTCATGGTAGCCAAGCAGAATTTCTTCAGCATTTCCTTTCTTCAGTCAACTGTCTCTAAACTCAGCAAACCGAAGCTATGAAAAGAATTCAACAATATCCTCCTAAACCACTGAATCCGTTGTCTCTTGGGTTAAGGCTTTTCTGGTCTTCCCTGGAAGCCACTGCCTTTCCATTCTGCACTCTGGTGTTGATAGTCTTCGGATTTTTGTTTTTGTTTTTCAGCAGAAGAAGGTTCAAGCCTGGAGGAAATTGGCTTTAACTGGGGAGAGTACTTGGAAGAAATGGGTGCCAGTGCGGCCCCTCACACATCGTTCAAACACGTACGTAACACCCCTTCTCTCTCTGCGCTGCATTTGGAGGGAGGGAGGGAGTCTGCAGCAAGATGCCAAACCTAGTGGGAGAAAGGGGATAAGAAGAAAAGGGAAATTCAGCCAAGATTTCCTAGAAAGAAAGAAGAGATGGGGCAATTCGTTTGCCTTCCACAGATAACAGCAGGTAAGATGGGCCTGGTTCTTTTAGCTTATCTTGTTGAACACAGGGCTGGGGCCAGGGAAGGTGCTCAGTGGGTGTTTTGCCTCGTCCTGTACCTCAAAAAGCCAAATTTGACAGCCTTTGCTATGGAAAGGCACACACACAGCCTGACACAGGTACGGTTGATTAGAATAAATAAAAGCCTGCCAATGAGGCAGGTAAGTGGAATGTCTTCTTTGGCGGCGTAATGGCTGTGTATTTTTATTTTGAAAGGACACATGAAAGTTCTGTAGCCTTTTGTGGGCATATGAGTCAAATTAGAGGAAATACCATAAATATTCAGAAAACATTTGGATCAAGCCAAAGAAGCATTCTTATAGTGATTTCTTTGAACAGTGCAAATCGCATGCCTTGCAGAGGGCAAGTCCCAGGAAATTAAAGATTGAGCTTTTATCAGATTTTTTGCTTCTACATGAGATTTTGGCAATACATCATTTGCAAGGAAAAGACTAAATTTCTGGGACCTAAGTTTTTTAGCATTAGTATTCCTTTACTGGAAATGAAAATTTAATTCTGAGAAACATTTTTTCCAAGGGGCTACCCAGGGCAAAGATTTAGCCTGAGTATCATAACCAAATTGGGGCATTTTCTCAACCTGTTCTTGCTGTTGGCTTTCTTGCTGAATGAAGAAGGGAGAACTTGGGTTTTTTATTTTAATGCAACATTCTATTCTTTGTGGAGGTGAAGTGTTCTTTTCAAAAGGAATTTAAGACCTTATTAAATTTGCATGGCCTTATAAAAATAGATTACATTCCCAAGTCTCTTTTTTCATACTGACACTCGTAATGTTTTAATTCATAGTTTATTATGAGTGTGGTTGTGGCCAAGAGGTAAAAGTGATTCTGGGATGACTTGGTTGGATTCCTTGAGGCAGTTTAGGAAAGATATTGATCGATACCATTTTCCTTTCCTTCTTTACCAATAAGTGATCAATATCTTTCCATATGGAGTCTGTCTTGTTCTCTTCATTTTTTATTCTTTTATTTTAGCTGAGCCATCCTGCCACCGGTTGGCAGCTCAGTGGCAGCTCAGCTCGGGTCGTGAATCAAACCGGGGACCCTGTTGCTCAGAGCTCAAACTCTTGAGCAAGCTCTTAACCAACTGAGCCACTCAGCCGGCCCCTGTCCTGTTCGCTTCAATCCAACCTGTTCTCCCACCTCCCTTTGAATCATCATAGAGTCCCCTTCAGGAAGCACAGTGTCCCCAGACCTGTGTTCCAGGTGTAAAGGAAAAGCGTCATGAGCCCCATGGACCAGCCGTTTGTAATCCCATCACCTCTTAAGCCGATGCTACTCATGGAGATCAGATGTGTTAGCGGTTTTTTTTTTTTTTTTTTACCAGACAGGAAAGCTTTCTTTGGGGGGCAGGACTGGTAAATACACATAGACTATAATCCTTCATTAATAAAAAAGAAAATCCGTTCTCTAAGGCTGTACTGCTTACACCTGGAGCTGTTGAACACGTGGAAAGTATGCCGTCCAGATTGGGATGTGCTGTAAGTGTGGAACACATACTGGATTTCAGAGACTTCATTGGAAAAGAAGAATGTAAAATAATCTCTATAATACATTTTATATTGATTACATCTTTCAGTGATGACATTTGGGATATGTGGGATTAAATAAAACACCTTATTAAAATTCTATCCGATTTATCTTTTTTTTATTTTTTAGCTGAGCCATCGTGCCACCTGTTGGCAGCTAAGCGGCAGCTCAGGTTGGGTGGGGAATGGAACCGGTGACGCTGTTGCTCAGAGCTCACACTCTTGAGCGACCTCTTAACCAACTGAGCCCTTCAGCCGGCCTTTATCTTTTTTTTTCAAATGTGGCTACTAGGAAATTTAGTGTCACATTGGTGGCTCGCATTGTATTTCCCTTACTGCTGTCGTAGGGCAGCAGAAGTACTGTTGGTAGATGCTGTGTTTTGAACACTGTCTCGTAAACTTCTGGATATATGCATCTGGTATAATCACGGTTTTCCTGTGTTTCCGGTTCCTTAAGGTTGAAATCAGCATTCAGAGCAACTTCCAGCCAGGGATGAAATTGGAAGTGGCCAATAAGAACAACCCGGACACGTACTGGGTGGCCACCGTCATCACCACCTGTGGGCAGCTGCTCCTTCTGCGCTACTGTGGGTACGGGGAGGACCGCCGTGCCGACTTCTGGTGTGACGTGGTGATAGCCGACCTGCACCCTGTGGGCTGGTGCACGCAGAACAACAAGGCCCTGATGCCCCCGGATGGTGAGCCCTGTGCGCCCGAGCGGCGCATGTCCGTCCTCCTTCACGATGCTTGTAGGGAAAGCCCGGTCGCCGTGCCATCACTGACTTAGCAGGAAGGTCTAGTGCTTTAAAGGTTGCTTCCTGGGTTTCATGAGCTTGAGGGTGCCGGAGTGAGGCGTAGCTGGGGGGCATTTTCAGATGTCAGAGCTGATCGATGCGCTGAGCCAAGCACGGCTGAGAGGCGACGAAGGTCCCGGAGCTTTAGCCTCACATGGGCGGTTAGAGGCAGGAAAGGAGGCTGAAGGGAGGCTGAGGGCTGAAGAGCCTCGTTGCTCGTGGGTGATGGCATATGTTGCTTTTCTTTTACTTTAAGACTTGGCATTCTGAACAGTGCTGTAGAGCACCTGAAACTGGTCTCTCTAAGTTTTGATCTGCCTTGTTGTGGGGAGGTTGTCAGGGTGTGGAGCATGTAGGAAACCAAACAGATGAGACATGACATTGTTCTCCAGGGAATTGTCAAAGCTTGTATAGATAAGATCCATTTCGTTGCTAGAAAATAGCTGATCTCTGTTGGGTCAGTTTCACCCTCCAGGGGACATGTGACAATTTCTAGAAGCATTTTTGGCTGTGAGAGGGAGAGGGGAGAGCTCCTGGCATCCAGTGGGAGGAGGCCAGGATGCTGCTGAACTTCCTACAGTGCCAAGGACAGCCCCCCAACAAAGAATTATTGGGCTCAGATGGTCAATAGTTGAAAAACCCTGCTGTCAAAGAAGGGGCAGCATGTGACAAATGCATCACAGGAACTCATCAAGACAGTGAGAAAAACCGAGTTGCTGAACATTTGAATCTCAACACCCTCCCCTCTGTGTTTCATTCTATGAAGATGGCAGCGGTTATGCTTGAAGACTCTTGGTGCTAATTCTCAGGCATGTGTGATGTCTTCTTCGTACCTGCCTGCCACTTTTCATTTTGAATGGAGATTTTTACTGCGAAGTAATCTGCAAAGTTTTAGAGCTGAATTCCAAGGTTTATTGTGTCTACCATATTCGCAATTGCTTTTGCCTTTTGGAGCATTTGAATTTTATCTTTCTTTTTAAGTTTTGATATTTTGTTTTACTGCTAGGTGGGAATGGTTGATGTTTGTTTATTTTTTACTTCCCTTTGTTATGTTTAGATCCTGCTAAAGAGGTGGTCTTAATAAATTCATGAGTTTGAGTTGCATTTATGTGATGTGTAAGGACTGAGTCTATTGCCTTGGCCTCAGCTGACATCTCAGCTCTTTATTGTCTCAGAAAAAAGAGAGCAAAGGCCTTCTTTCTTCCCTTCTCCTTTGGTTCCTTGCACCTGCTCTCTCCCATGCTTACAACCTCTTCCTCTCCTCATCCTCCTCAGCTGGCAGCTCATCTAGTGCTTTCTTAGGCAACTGAGGTCAAATCCTGTCTTTGCTCACGAGGCCTTGCATGCCCTTAATGCGTATCATGTTTGCAGCTGTGCCCCCACATTGATTTTTTTTTTCCCGATGAGATATAATTCACACAGTATAAACTTCACCCCTTGAAAGTGTGCAGTTCCATGATTTTTAGTATAGTCACAAGGTTTTGCAACTGGTATCACTGTCTAATTCCAGAGAATTTCCATCACCCCATAAATAAACCCTGAACCCAATTAACAGTCACTCTCCATTCCCCCCTCCCCCCAGGCCTTGGCAGTGACGCATCTACTTTCTGTTTGTATAGACTTGTTTATTCTGAACATGTCACATACATGGAATCCTATATTTACTTTGTGGCCTTTTGTGCCTGGTTTCTTGTACTCAGCATATTGTATTCCAAGCGCATCCATGTTGTAGCATGGGTCAGGACTTGATTCCTTTTTATGGAGGAATCATACTCCGTCCTATGGAGGGACCACGTTCTATTTATCCATTGGTCACTTGATGGACATCTGAGTGCAACTAACTGTACTTTGAATTGTGTGGTTCTTTGAGTAGAGGACTTGGACCACCTCCCCTCACCTCCAGTTTTGGTTGAATCTTTATGTATAGAAGCGTGAGACTTTATTTCTGACCCCTGTTGAGGGGTGCTTTTCAGGTGAGCACTGGAGAATGGTTGTTAATGGGCCAGGCTTTATTCTTCGCTCCCATTCTAGTTCTGCATAAGCAAGGAGTAGGGTAAACACTATACTGTAATGCTTTTGGTAATGTCTTTTGTCTTAGTCCCAGACCTAGCCTAAACTATGCCATAGTGACATTTTAATTTATTTTTTACCTTTTCCACAAAATTGTAAATGTACGGTACATTATTTCTAACTGTAAGCACGATGGTGTACAGCTGATCTCTGGGACATTTTCATCCTGCCTAACTGAAACCACATACACATGGAACAGTAGCCCCCCATCCCTTTACCCTGTATCTGGCATCCGCCGTTCTACTTTCTGCTTCTTTGAGTTTTATGGCTTTACATGCGTCAGATAAGTGGAATCCTGCAATATTTGTCCTTTTGTGGTAGCATGTTACACGGTTTCTTTCTTTTTAAGGGCTCAGTACTATGCCATCTGACTTTGAATTAAAACAGCCACTGAGGCAAGAAGGTATGATATATCATATTTTGCTGTGTATAATGTGCACTTTTTTGGCCAAATTTGTGAGGGAAAAACAAGGATATGTATTATACATGGAAAGTACTAATTCTGTGTCTACATAAATGTTTTTAATTCTTTTATTTATGCTTATGAGTTAAAAGTGGAACTCTAGAAATCAATAATGAGATCTGTAGGCAAAATAATACCCTGGAATACTATAGTTGGTTTTGTTGAACTTATGACGAGCTTGCAATGATGAAGAGTTCTTGGCTTTCTATGATGTATGAATATCATAGATTTGTTACCAGTACATATAATTTCTTGTACCTCGTATCTGTTCTTGTGTTTTGTAATTGTTACATAAAATTTTTTGTACCATAATATGTTAAAAATAAACGCTTAAATTCCTTTATAATACAAAAAAACAAGTACCTAAATGTAAACAAATAAAAATTTGAATTAAAAAATTAAAACGCAAAATATTTTCCCTGAAAGTTTGGGCCAAAAACATGGGTGTACATTATACACGGGAGCACATTATATATACACGGCAAAATATGGTAACATATGATTATTTAATTTCTCTTTGATTTCTGATCTGCCATAAAATCACCCATTCTTGATGGATGAATTGTACTGATGGAATATTGGGAAAACAACAGTTCTGGTTAGAGAATTACAGACCTTCCCGTTTGCCCAGCTCTGCACACGAAGGCCACATAAATATGCCCCCATACACTCAGGAGGGAGGGTACAGGCAGCCATGCATCAATCCCAGAGAGCAGGAACACATTTGGGGGCACCACCAGAGAGGGACACAGAAGGGGACTGAGAGGCAGGTCCCAACTCCTGGCTGCAGCCTCCCCTTTCACTGTTCTTGCTTAGCTCATTCATGACTCTTTAAAGTTTGACACTTAAGTAGCTAAAACCCCTTGGAAAGGATGCAAGATGGTGTCACTTTATAGAGTCTTTAGTGAACAGTTTTAGGGAGAACTTCCAGCATACTGAATTTTAACACTCTAAGAGCTAATGGGCTCATTTGGTAAAAATCCAAGCTGTTGCTTGAGGAAGAGGGCATAGTTTATTAATCAATTCTTCTTTCTCACTTGGATGAGAAATGTGGCAGCAGTCAGTTTCAGGAACACTGTCAAATTTGTATCCTACTGCGTTTGTGCTATAAGGCGAGACACAGACTCACTTAAAATGACAAATTCAAAATGAAAAACGGGGAAACCCTGTAAAGAGGGAAACCATTAATGTGACTGAAAGATTGGAAGGCCCTTCAAACAGTAACAAGTTATGCTAATTTTGAGAATTCCTTTATTGCTCGTTTTAAAGAACTTTAAAAAAATTTAGTAGGTAATCAATGAGACTTGCAACTCTTTAGTGCAGAGAACAAAGTCAGAAAATAGCAGGTTCATGGGGCAAAAGGTTTTATTGATTGGCGTAGCACAGGATAATTACTGCTTTGTCCCGCTAGGGATCGTCAAATCTGTTTTTGAACGAGGATTCTTGTTCGTGTGGTTTTCTGTCTTAGAGAGCTAAACTAATGTCGTTGCAAGTTCCAGCTGTACCTGTTCAGTCTTTGTGGCGGTTCAGCTTGAAAGGCATCACAGAGTATTAACACGAGTTCAAGCAATCCATGATGGTTTTGTTTGGGACACTCCATGGTGATAGAGGGATTTCTTACTGATCCCAGGAATGGGGGGTGAGGGTAGGGGTGGCTTCAAGGGAGGAGCATGGTTGTTGGAACCAGGACGTGGGGCTCTTATCTTGTCTTTGGCATTGGTTTACCTACATGGGTGAGTCCCCTCTGAATTTTTGAATTGTTGAAATGAGGAGGTTATAGTACGTAATCTGTAAAGAGCTTTCCAGCCTGACATGCCTTGATTTGTGACCCTTGTGCAGGAAAGAAGGAGGGAGAAGGTGCTGTGCTAGTTTTCCCCTGTATGTATGAGGAATGGAGTTTTGGAATGAGGGTCTGTGGAAATCTAGCCCAGGAATCTGCAGAAAGCACAGAAGTCAAGTTTCCAGGTTACTGTTGGGGATGATGAAGTTGCACTGGATTGAGGGGCTAGAAACTGGGCTGGGAAATTATTGTGCGTGCCTGGGTCTACTCTCCCCTGCAATGGATAGAATCTTGTTCAGCGAGGACTTGTAGACTCAGGTTTCCTTATGGAACTCAGAGAATGGGCAGTCATCGTCCCTGTGTGAGAAACATCCACGGAAGTGGAGTTAAGTTATTCAGGATGACTGCTTCAAAATATGGTTGGACTGAGCAGAAGACGGAGTCTTGGGTGACTTTGCCCATTAATGAGAGAAGGGAGAGGATGGTCTCCCGCGGTCAGACTAAGACTGTGGCGCCCAAGACCTTTTAGGACATTTTGGGTTGTTCAGAGTTGTCTTCTGTGTTCTGAAGTTACTGCACTGAAAAGAGACT